ATGTGACGCGGTATACGAAAGCCGCCGTTTTTTCTGCCGTCGGGAAGCGAACGCCGATTGCCGTCCGATTTTCGACGGTCGGTGGAGAAAGCGGGTCTGCCGATACCGTTAGGTGAGACATTTTCTTCGCAAGATTTTCTTAAGTTTTTCTTCTATTATTGCACAGCGCTTGTTTCATTAGACAACAGTGGGAGATCCTTTTAATCATTTCCGGAACACGGGATCCCGCTGTATTAATTTTTCTGATGATTCCTGGGTACTTCAATGATCTGCAAATGAACTCGTTTTAAAAGAAGTGACGCATTTTTTCAGCTTCTGGAGAAGATTTCATTTTTATTTTTGCACATCGGAAGCGGATTCTGAAACCTTTGTAATTTTTTGCGACTTCATTCTACAGGATTCGTCTTTCATGTTAAAAAATTAGTTCCTTGTGAAAATGTTCCTTCATTTAAATGCCTGAAATTTAAATGCTCCTGGAAGAAAGGGGGCCGCGTTCTTTGGCATTGAATTCTGTGGGAGAATTGAAACAATTCTGATTTCAAGTATTATTAATTCGAAAATTTTCGACAGGGATCCTCGGGGATTTGCTGTTAAATTTTACACTGAAGAAGGCAACTGGGATCTGGTGGGAAACAACACTCCCATCTTCTTCATCCGAGATGGGATCCTGTTTCCCTCTTTTATTCACACACAGAAGCGCAACCCCCAGACTCACCTCAAGGTATTGTATACATGATTTGTTTTCCATCTTCTCGATGCTTCGAAGTTTTTTTTTTTCTTGGTGAATCCCGTTATCGAGTTGTTAAATCGCTTGAATTAAATTATTATACGTGAACTTGTGACTGATACAGGATGCGGACATGTTCTGGGACTTTTTGTCGTTGCGGCCCGAGTCAACGCATCAGGTTTCGTTCTTGTTCTCGGACCGGGGAATCCCTGATGGGTATCGTCACATGAATGGATACGGATCCCACACTTTCAAACTGGTCAATGTTGCTGGAGAACCCGTTTACTGCAAATTTCATTACAAGGTACTGTTCGTCAGAAAATGTCAGTAATATTTTTGAGGGCTTCCCATAATGGCCCGGTCTGAAAAAAGAAAATATATACAAATGTAAACCGAATTTAACAAGTGAAGTATTGTATTACGTTGAATGTCAATGACAGCTCAGTTAGACGTAAAGTAATAAAAATATGCAACGAATTGAATTTTTTTGTTTTATTCAAAGAAAAAATGCCCTCTCGAGAAAAACGAGTCGTAACTTTTCGGAGTTGAATAAATAGTAATATGAATTCGGAAGCACTTCTGAGAGAATACTGTTGAATTATTCATTCTTCAAATCGCGGAAAAAATCGACGTTCCAAGTAATGTTTTATTTTATTTTGCTGCTCTTGTCCCGCGCAGTTCTGATGCTTGCCGTTTTTTGACTCTCGCCCTTAATTTTTTCTATTTTTTTTCCGTGAAATGCTCTTCATTTGTTTCACAGACTAACCAAGGCATCAAAAACCTGACGGTGGAAAAAGCTGGAAAACTGGCTTCGGAAGACCCGGATTATTCAATCCGTGATTTGTACAACGCGATTGAAAACGGAGATTTTCCGAGTTGGACCTTTTATTTCCAGATTATGACGTTCAAAGAAGCAGAGAAACATCGCTGGAATCCCTTTGATGTCACTAAGGTATT